GTTTGGCCTGAATAGATCCTTCGTCCGAAACCAGTCAAGGGAGGAGGAAGCCAGGTCCAACCTACTTTTGGCTATAAGAGATCGTCTTCAGGACCCGGCTTGCCAGGTCCCGGGAAGTTGGGTTGGCAGATGCACGTCGATGTCACTAGATGCAGGCAGAGACCAGGTGATGGGATCTTGATGTCCATAGTCCGTCACGAGCTAAACAGCCTGTTCTGCAACCAAGGCCAGTTTCAACTACCGTAGAACGCCTCAATCGCACAAAGGAGCATCCCACATCGCCATTTTTGAGTCAGCGTAAGCTAATGAATCAGCGCCCGTCACATCCAGAATGCGACACCCGGACATTGGGCCAACACGTTGGGCGCTCGGCTCGTGCGGTGGTCTTCCCCGCAGAACGGCGCAGGGAGAGGCCCCCGCCCCGAGAGCAGGACTCCATGAAGGAGTTTCGAAGAGGTTCGAGTTTTCCGGGGGATACCTGCCGTGCGTATGCCGTGTGAGCGTGTAAGACGGTGAAGCCCGGACGGCGGCAGAAAAGATCGAGTGAAGGGAGTGGCAGCCACAGACGGGACGGGGCAAACCAAGACTTGCGTGTCTGGTGGTGTCTTGCTTTCTTGAGGGGTTCATCTCACCCTTATTCCGTCAATCAATCCTCGACGCTTGCCACATATCCAGCACCGGTGGTTTTGTCAATGGAAGGCAACACAAGGGCTGTATAAGACTTCGGGCACGGCCTCGAGGCGCATATTCCATCTACATCATCTAGCACCTGTTCGGCGTTCGTTCTCAAGTCCATCGAAATCCGGTACTGCAACTGCGAGCTGGCTCCCGCATAACAACATCCCGATATCCCATCATGGATATCTCCAAGAACGAGTCCGTTCGCGAGTTCGAACGGATGGACACCTTGGAGAAGTACATCGAGAATGACAAAGACGATTCCGATTCGATTCGATCCGAAGCTCTCGGAGATGATCTGCCTCCCGGTTACTTCTGGTCTCCTCGGTTCCTGGGTGCAATGGCGGTTGGTCAAATGTGTTGTTGGAAGAGGGGCTCAGCGGTCGCTGACATCACAATAGGGTTTCTGTCTCTCTGCACTATCGGCATACATCTTCTTGATCTTGCCGACCAACGTCTTGACATTTATCAACGCCGATATTGGTGAGAACATCATGTTGTTGTTCATTTTGCGACATTATACTTATCGATTCAGGCCCGAGTCCATATATCTCTTGGGTCAACATTGCCCGAACGCTCTCCCTCTCCTTTACTTACACCATTCTTGGCCGCCTGTCCGATCTCTTCGGTCGACGATGGTTCTTCATCGGCGGCAATTGCGTCGCTATTGTAGGCATCATTGTTTGCGCCGTTGCGCAAAATGTCAACACCCTCATCGTCGGCGCAGCGATCTACGGATTGGGAGAGACGGTGCAGCTGAGCTTTAACGTTGCGGTTGGCGAACTGGTTCCCAACAAGTATCGACCCATGGTTCTTTCTTGCATCTTCGCAACGAATGCGCCCATCGCCACCTTTGGCCCCATCATCGGTAAGTCTAGCATTTGAACAACTGCAACATCATGTCTAATTCAACGGCAGCTCGCAAGTTCGTCGAGAACCCCAAGCTGAGTTGGAGATGGTGCTTCTACATCAACATCATCGCCGTTGGCCTTGCCATCGTCCTCCTGTACCTGTTTTACCACCCTCCAACGTTCGAACTCCTTCACGACCGAAAGACCAAGAGACAGCTGCTCAAAGAGCTTGATTGTAAGTCCATCACGTTGCACTCTGTCTGACCCGCCGCTCACCCCTGACGAAGATCTCGGAATTTTCTTGTGGACCGCCGGCCTGACCCTCCTCTTGATGGGTGTCTCTTGGGGTGGAGTCATGTTCCCCTGGGACTCCGCAGCAACCATCTCGAGCTTGGTTATTGGCGTCGGCCTGCTTGTTGCGCTCTTCTGCTGGGAAGCATTCGCGAACCTCACATATCCTGCCATTCCCGTCAAGTTCTTTGCCAACCGTGGCTTCATGGCTCTCGTCTGCTGCGCAACGGTTGCCAGCATGTTCTACTACTCGGCCGTCCTCCTCTGGCCTCAGCAGGTTCAGGCCTTGTACACGACGGATATCAACTATGGTGGCTGGCTCTCTTCTACCGTAGCAAGCTCGACTGCACTTGGCCAGGTATGTGCTGGTGCAATCGTCAAGTGGGGAGGAAACGTCCGATACTGGATCATCTTCTCGACCTTCGCCATGGTTGGCTTCGTCGGCGCTCTCGCCTCTTTGACTCCTGAGACATTGAATACGGGTATCGCTCTCACGATTTTGGGCCCTTTCTTCGTCGGTTTCATCGAGCTCGCGTCACTCGCTTTGGCGCCCCTTTTCTGCAAGCCCGCAGATATCGGTTTGGCCTCGGGTCTGCTGGCATCCATCCGTTCCGCGGGAGGTTCTATCGCCGTTGCTGTTTACACCTCGATCTTGTCCAACCGCCTCGCCACCACTATCCCCGCGGCAATTACCCAGCCAGCTACTGCGGCAGGATTCCCCGCCAGCCAGATTCCTGCGCTCGCAAAGGCAATCCAAGGCAACAAGTTGAAGACCTTCCCAGGCTTGAGCACGGCTGTCAAGGAAGCCGTCTCGAAGGTCCTGCCTACTGCCTACTCCAAGGCATTTGAGACCGTCTATCTCGCTAGTTTGGGTTTCGGAGCCATCGCCATTGTCGGCTGCTTGTTCTCGATGGATGCCCAGAAGCACCTGACCAACAAGGTCGAGCGTCGCATGAGGTGATAGGAAGGTTAGTTGGGCCTCACGGGAAGCCAAGAGGAGGGGGTTATTGCAGCGAATCAACGATCGCTGAAGGTGTGTGGGAACAAGTGTCGCTTTGATAGCAGACTTTTGGAGTGTTTCGATCATATCATAGCAAGCAGCCAGCGAGTTGTTTAGTCCCTGTTTGTTCTCTGGAGCACATCAATCAAACTGGCCCGAATGCCACTTCAGAAACCCACGAGACTGAGAGTTTTCTCAATGTTCACGAACCAAAATCGTGGCGTAAATAGTGACATCCCTCCTACGGTGCGAGTGGCTGACCCCGCAGCAAACCCTGGCCCGGATGTCTTGTTTCTCTGGGGTACCCCAACACGACTTGCGCATCGTTTCTACCTCGCTCGGGAAGGCGCATCCTCTTCCTTCGTCAATTAGACCTCTTATCACCAATTTCGAAGAACCATTATGCCTCGACGGCCATCTATGTCGGCCTCCGTTCAGTCGGCCACATCTCCCTCCTCGGTTGGCTCGTCGACGGCCCAGGAAAGTTCTGGGATGACACAGCAGGATATCGAACTGCAGAAGAAGCGGGCCAGAGACAGGAAATCTCAGCAAGCCATGCGCGATCGCAATAAGTGGACGATACAGAACTTAAACGACCAAATCGCCTACTTGAATTCTGCAATGGAAGAGAGGAGCCAAGATGTCGCCATGCTTCAAACACGAATTGGGGTTCTCGAGAGTGAGAACGCACAGCTCAGAGCACAGAATGCTGCACTGCAGCTGAGCCTGATGGGACGAAATGAGAACTCTGGGCCCGGCGATGACTCCTTCATCTTTGAAAGACGGCTTTCTGATAGTCCGTGGGAGCTACCCTCCCGGAATACTGCGCCGGGTTGCATTGCGGACCAAGTCTTGCAGGGCTTCGTGGATTCTGTTCGATCTGACGGCATTCTAGCATCGACATCCTCCTATACCCTCAAACCCAAGGTTTCCGCACTGGTGCAACAACAAGGAAGATCGGAAGATGATATCAGCAACGTTGTGGCGGACGTCGTTCGGACGTATCCCGAGATAGAGACCCTCCCTAAACAAGTAGCTGTATTTCAGAATATGGCACTGCTATTAAAGGTATGCGGAATCTATGTCTAATGATTCGTTGTGAGTACAAGCTGATTCACTACCTCAGTGGATGGTCCTCCTCGACAAGCAAAGTTGGGATCTGATGCCGTCTTGGTTGAGGCCAGTACCTTCACAGCTCACCACACCCCATGCCGCCTGGATTGATAGAATTCCTTGGTAAGTGAACTCTGTAACAGCGGTGTCGTTTGACCCAATCTTGATGCTAATAATACCAGGCCTCGGGTTCGGGAGTATCTCATCGCGAATCCCGACATCACCCTCGACGACTGGGCAGCCACCTACAGCTCGAGCTTTGATGTAAGCTGGACCTACGAGCCTTCATTGGTTCTTATCACTGTGGCTACGGATGGCCCCGGGATGTCTGAAATAACTATCAACCCGGTCTACGAAGAACATCTACGGCAGCTGAAGAACTGGACGGTGGGCAACCTGTTTCGCCAACGATTTCCCGTTATAGCAGACCTCATAGATCGGGACACCCTGGAAAGCGGAGTCTGTGGTGAATTCAATACTTCATGATATTGCTAGACTGTTTGGTGCCATTCAGCCTCATGACGAACTGAAAATTTGATCCGAGTGAAGACCAGTCAGCCGCCTATTCACCACCCCCCCCCCCCCCCCCCCCACTGAATCATCAAACTCTTCTTAGAAGATGCCCGTTTACCGACCCCACTTGGCAAAATCTGGGGTGCAGCGAAGCAGCACAGGTGGGTTCGCGGAGTTCGATAACCGGGCTGCTGGATATCGGAGTTGCAGATTGCGGGGAAACGTGCCCGAGAAGTGCGCCAGCACCTTTTATGCTTCTTGGTTTGATGGGGATGGGGACCCCAAACAGGCGACTCATTTTCACTTGAAGCGTGGAGTCACGAAAGCACAGCCGGCTATTAAGATTCGGGCGAAAGTTGACAAAGCCCGTCATGTTGAGTCACCAGCCGCAGACCTTGATGACTTCGATAAGCCAGCTAGCACGTAGGTGCCCATCCCACCGTGTTATACGCATCATCATGCGGGTAATGGGAGACTTTGTGCAAAGATTCTGTGTCATAAAAGACGTTTGGCGTTTCTTTCAGTAGCTAAAGGCTTTTGTACATACACCTTATTCAAGGGGTGGTGGCCTCTTCGAGGAGGAGGTGGTACATGAGCTCCCTCGGTGTACAATCCTTCTCCCAAGGATTGTCCCAAGGCGTCGGGTCTGTAACTCCCAGCGCTGAAAACATCTCTCTTACGTCACACAGGGTCTGCCCCATGTCACACCCAACTTCGCCTCCTTCCCAAGACTCACTGTTTACTAAACGACAACTGTTTTCGTGATCCCCATCGCATTCCCATTCAGTAAAGCTGATAGTTCTGAGGTCAGGAAACTTGCCACCCTCAACTTGTTTAGCAAACCAGACGAACTCTTCTTTGTAGCCATCGATGTAGCCACTGATTTTCAAGTGTTTCAGCGACGGTTGAAGTTCTCGCAGCAAACAATCACTGCCAAAACCCAATTCATCTGCAGTTATCTTCAGTGATTCTAGACTGGGGAGTTTGGTGAAGGAACGAAGGCGCATTGCCGTGTCTCCCCACCCGCCTATATCTAGCTTGAGAACTTTGAGACTTTCGCCGTGAAATGTTAGAGCCGGAAGAATATCTTCCAAGTCGTCGTAATCAGTAAGCGCCCACAAGTCAAATTCTTCCAAACGCCCACAAGATTTGATCCACCTGGGAGTGTCTTCGACAGGGATGACGCCTCTTCTTGCCAATTTGAGCTTTACGATGCGGCTCCAATCCATGCCCTCAAACTTCCCACAAGTGTTGATTCCATAAAAGCTTGTGATGAAAGGAGCGAGTTCCATGAGAGGGAAGATTTGATCGAGTAGAACAGGCCATGTGCCAGTCTGACTGGCAACGAAACGTAAGTCCGTCAAATTTCGCAAGCGTGTGGAAGTCTCCTCCGGAAATGGCAAGGCTTTGAAGAAATATTCCGACTTTTTGTCCGCCGTGATAGATAGTTGTCGAACATTCCGCGCCTGGAGGATTGCGATACCCGCCAGTATGGATAAGTTCTCTGTTAACGTATGCCAGTTTTCTGGCAAATCGAGGTTCAAGCTTTTGATGATGATCTGAAGTTCGGCAACATCTTCGCTTTTGATTTTCTCCTTCTTTCGGTTGATTCGCTCCCAGTCGACGTGAAGGTCAAGCACATATGCGGCGATTTCAGTGCGCAAGTGCCAGAATTTCACAAGCGCTGGGAGACTTGAAGCCTGTGATCCTTTCAAAGACACATGACTCCAGATCCTAGGCTCGCACAGGACGCGGAATGTACGACACACGCACGAGACTGGCCTCAAACTACCTCGTCTTTTCAAGAAGAGGTCGAGTTAGCAGATGGCATCAGGGTGTATTATGGATGATGACGATGGCACGAACACTTCAGAGATGATTTGGTCTAAAATCTCGCAGGGGAGCTCTAAGACGTGGAATCCTGCCATGAGAAATGCGAAAGAGCGCTGGCGCTGCAGATTGATTGGTCATGGGTGGGCGGGTGAGTGTGAGGAGGGCATTCTTGACCTGGATTGCGTCGTCAAGGTAAGAAAAATTGGCAAAATTCAAGCCCACCGCTTCGGTAGGAGTACGCCTCAACATGTTTAGTCAGCAACTCAAAGGAACGTGACATGTCTCTCGAGGTCTTTTGATTGGGCAATATCGGCATCCAACTACCACGCCATGTAACTCGGATTACTTGCCTTCGGCGGTAACCTGCAAGAATGGAAGTCAAAAGAAGGGGAGAAAAGATTGAGTTTTGATTGAGCGTAATTGTGTGATATACTCTGAAGAACATGTCCACTAATCATCTCTGTCAGGAATCGGGAGAAGAACGGCTGCAACTAAGCGCCTTGCATACGTACAACGGTATGGGGGGCGATTTGTGGTGGACCTGATAAACTGTCGCTCCATCATGCGCACCAAACCAAGATTTTAGGCGCCGATAGACGAAAACACGATGTTCTTCGCAAGTGCTAAGTGGGAAACGATATTGAATGATATCCGGCTTCATTGGAAACGTAGATGCGGAACTCCGCATCCGTGGGCATCCTTTCATCGGAGCGGGGAACAGGCCGAAACCTACCGGCACACGGAAACATATTACCGGCTTCTGTAGTCGCGGACGAGCCTGAGTAAGATCAACTTATACAAAACAGAACTTGAAGGTGATTCAATTGCCAATTTCACGTAGGTCAATATCATTCTACAATCTCTCATCATGACTTTCGCACAGCAATTCTCCGACAAAGTTGTCGCCATCACTGGTGGTGCCTCTGGCATAGGTCTCGCAACAGCCCATCTCCTTGCTGAGCGAGGAGCCAAACTGTCTCTCGCTGACGTCCAGGAAAAGGCTCTTCAACAAGCTCAGTCTGATATAAAGTCCAAGTACCCCGAAAGTGATGTCCTCATTTTTACTGTGGACGTCAGGAACTACGAGCAGGTTGACAAGTGGATCACAGAGACTGTGAAACATTTTGGAAAGCTTGACGGAGCGGCAAACCTGGCCGGAATCATCCCCAACTCAATCGGTCTCAAAGGAATCGACGAGCAAGACTTTGACGAATGGGACCTCATTCTCAGTGTCAACTTGACTGGGGTCATGCATTGTCTCAAGGCTCAGCTGCGTGTCATTGAAAACACAGGAGCAATCGTCAATGCAAGCAGTATTGCTGGCCTTATTGGACGGAACAAAAACGCTTCATACGTAGCCAGTAAGCATGGCGTCATGGGTTTGACGAGGAGTGCTGCAAAAGAAGTTGGGCCGAAGGGCATTAGAGTCAACGGCATCTGCCCGTGAGTCTTACTAATTTCTGTCAGAAATGAAAGGAACTAATAAAGCCAGGGGCAAAATCGATACACCAATGTCGCAGGCATCTAGGGACATGAAGATTGTCGTCGAGCCATCTTTGAAGCGGGTCGGTCAGCCGAGGGAGGCGGCAACTGTGATCGCTTTCTTGCTCAGTGACGAGGCAAGTTACATCTCGGGTGCTGCTATCGGTGTGGATGGTGGATGGAACTGCTGAATGTGTTTATACCGCCATAAATTCATACCTACCTCATGTAACTTCATCTGGAAGTAATCTATGAAAGCTTTCGTTTGTATAAGCTTCACTTGGAAGCTGGGCGCGCAGATTTATCTCATACGAACCGACGACACGCTTCTTTCGGAAGTAATTGTGTCTTGAGAAAGACTGAAATTAAAATCTATGCGTGCTTGACTTCATTCACAACCTGGCTCTAGTCTGGTGTATGCTCTTCGCGATAGCTGCGAGCTCGCTCCTGACCAACTTGCCTGAGTTATTCTTCGGAAGTGACTCTAGACAATGCAGTCCCCCTCTCAATTTTTTGTAAGGGGCCACACGCTCCTCCAAGTAGATTCTTATCTGATCCAACGTTTTTGAATAGTCAACCTTTGCTGTCGAAGGTGGCAAGCAGACAAACCCAATTGGAGCCTCTTCGCCATCACCGCCCCATGGCATTCCACATACCCCCGCATCCATGACCAATGGGTGAGAAAGTAGTATAGCTTCCAACTCCGCCGGTGCAATTTGGTTCCCTTTGTATTTGATCAGTTCTTTCTTCCTTCCAGTCAACCAAAAGTACCCATCTTCGTCAACTTTGACAACATCTCCAGTACATAGCCATCCGTCTCTGAAGGCCGAGGCAGTTTCAGTCGGGTTGTTCCTATACTCCAGAAAGACTGTCGGCCCTTTGACGAGACACTCGCCTTCGATGCCTATTGGTACGTCATTGAAGTCATCATCCACCACGCGAACGGTGACTCCAGCGGCAGGCTTGCCAACACTAGCACTCTTTTGTTCGTTTCTTGTATGTCTGAGAAGAGTGATAGTGGCCTCGCTCATTCCATAGCCGTTGAGAACATTGGTTTCGGGTCCAAGAAGCCGCTTCAGCCCCTTCACCGTAACATCAGATAGTGGGGCACCAGAGCACATGACGGTATGCACCGAGGACAGATCGAGGTCTCTTATGGCTGAGTCCTTCACCATTCGTACTGCTGCTGCCGGAACCAGTCTCAATACCGTCGCCTTCAGTTCGGAGCACCTTCGGAGGTACGGCAGGTACTCGAATTTCCTCATTGGCTGAACATGATTTCCTATCCAAGCCGGTAATAAAATTCCAGACACAATGCCGTATATGTGCGCGAAGGACGGAAAGAAGGCTTCTCTCATGTAGGCATTGTGTGTGAAAGGATTTGTGGCCCGGAGTGTGAGGAGATACGCGATAAGATTATGGTGAGAGAAGACAACACCCTTTGGCTTGCCCGACGTCCCAGAACTGAAGCACATCCCTGCAGGGATCTTCCGATTGTCTCGCCTGGAAAGATCGAAAGGCTGTATCGGGCTTTCTTTTGAAGACCTGAAGTCCAAGGGAAACTGTTACCGTAAGTAATCTTGTCAGGCATCTTGTCGTGGCAGGGCACCTTATACTCTAGGGTAGTCTTCTTGCTTTCGAGCATTGCTCTCATCACCAACAACGAGCAGTCTTGGAGTTGTCCTTAACTTCAGTTGCTTCAAGGCTTCTAGGGCCCTGGGCAACAGCTCGTCGTCGACTGCGATTATGCTCGGTTGAGCCACAGTAAAGTAGTGAGTCAGCTCATGTGCAGTTGCCATGGAGTTGATGCCACTGAAAATTCATCAGAGCTGAAGTTCGAATTGAAATTACGACATACACTCACCAGAAACATCCACCAGCCCACAAGGTTGCGTGAGCCAGAGCTACCCACGAAATAGAGTTCGGGGCGAAGATGCAGACCACATCTCCTTCTTGAAGCCCAAACCGTGATATGAAAGTGGAGGCATCTAGTGCTGCATTAAACCGAAGCTCTTGAAGCGTCGGAGTCTGCTGTTGGTCGTCGAAATCGCTCAAGATTTTCTGATCTGGGGGAACGTCATCTGGGTTGCTGCTGAGGAGGAACTGCGAAACTGAAACATCCGACGGAACAAGAGGTGTTGGGTAAGGTGAATGATACATTGCGGTCCAGATACAACTTCGAGGGCTATGGTTTACGTAAAAGAACCAGAACTGCCCAAATCTCAAGGCAGTTTGTTTTATCAAGATGAGAGTTGACCTCAATCAGGTAGGTATGCTCTGAACACTTTAATGAATCATTGGTGCGACAACATGCGCTATGAATACCATTTGCCGTGTCATCTGTGCGGCGCCTCAGCGAACACCGTCGCTGTGGCTTTAGCGGACACGGTGCAGCCACGTTGAACCCAACGGTTCTGGTTTTCCGGCCTTTGTTATTGGTATCCGATGCAAATTCAATGGAAAATTCCGAAGCGTACCCTGGCTATGCAAACACGTATCGATCATGGTTTTCCTTGCACAGTGGTTTTGACTGTGCGTACGTGTTCTTTCTTCTGATCGCATGCATTTCGCTTCGGTCCGGAGGATCAATTTCGATTTAGGGAGGGCCAAGATACATAGTAGATAGATCCTTTCAACCCGAGATTCATAATATCGAGAAGCGCCCGTATATAGTGTGTTGAAATCAGGTAAGAAGGGCTTCCTATTGAGCGTTTTGGCAAGCACTGCCTTCCTTCATGGGATCATTGTCATCGAAGTTGTTCGCTTGGGAGGCGATTAGTGAGCATCGAAATCGTGTGCAACTTTTGAGGTTCAAAAAGATGAGTAAAACGACTTCTCCAAGAGCACAACTTCTGCCGGAGAGCAGTCGCTGTTAATTTATCACAAGTTGGACAGAAAGACATGTTACGTATTTTGATTGGGGACTGATAGCGATTTTCAAAGTCTTGGCACTTCGCGGAACTCGTACCCATGTCAGAACACGCGGCTGGAAGCAAAACACGACCTATCGTACCCAGAAACATTTTGTCTAGTGGGACGCCGAGCTCCAAAAAGACCATCCAGCTGCAGCCAGTCTTGGTAATAGCTTTCGTCGCAACTTTCACCGTTTCCCAAGCGTCCCGATGTTGCATTCGGTTTCCCACGGGCAGCATCTTTGCTTATCTGGAAAAAGCTTGGCTTTCTTGGCTTAACTAGCAAAAGTCTTGTCTCCTTCCAATTCCATCTTTAGTCAATAATATTGGTCTCGCCCGAACGCGGGGTAGTAGTCCAGTCATGCGTGAAAAATCAGCACGAAGGGCAATTAGAAGCTTGGTGCCTGGATGATCGGGTGGCTTTTTCGGCCTGGTCCCGGGGTCCAGCATACGCCGGGACTCGCCAAGAAGTTTGTTTCCTGCCTTTCTGGGACCTTACGGGGGCGTCGGAGGGTTGATAGATTTCAGTGATGTCACGTAAGAGCATGGCGGACAGATAAATACAATGGTCATGTCGCATTCATAGATCTCGCTGCGCAGTCTGACAACGTGCGACTCACTTGCGTTGAATTCTGGAGGAGCCAAGAAGTGCATTGTCAAATCAGCACAACATGCGTCTCAACTCCATCACCAGCGCAGCGGTCTTGACTGCTGTTGCTGTCCAGGCAAGGGAGCTCCCGAAGGATGAGGCTCGCGCTGCTGGTGTGTTCTATGCCCTAAGAGCCATTCAAAACACTTGCTAATTGTTGCAGAGCTCTATGACTCCGGTGTGATTCACGAGAGGCTCATGGCTAAGAAGATTGTACGTCTACAGCTGAGGAGATATATGTGATTAGGTCAAGTCTAACGGTGATTTCTAGTCCCATTGGGAAGCCGAAGAAGCCGTGGGTCTCATGAACTCATCTCAGTGGCCCAGACTTGGTTACACCAAGTGTGTTGATGGTTACGCTGAGGCCATCCCCGACAGCCCTCTGCACAAGTTCAAGTGCGAGAATGTAAGTTAACAGTCGTCACAAATTAACAAATCATCGCTCACATATGTGTTCTATGCAGATGGATCTCTACGACTTCATCAACCACGCGACGCTCGGTTCTCCGAATACCGACTACCGTGGTAAGAGCGGCAGCTCTTCATGGGGTTGGACCGACCCTGACTCTGGTCGCGAGTTTATCGGTAAGCATTGAAAACACTGGCACGACGTCCCACGGACACTGACCGTGATTATTTAGTCAGCGGTATGTTCGATGGATGTGCTTTCATCGAGATCTTGCCTGAGGGAAAGATGCTGAACCTCGGTTTCCTGTGAGTTCAAGAATGATTACAACGACATCGCAGGATTCTACTGACTCAATGCAGTCCGACCTATTCTCCTGTGGGCGATAGAGCTTACTGGCACGAGATTCGGCCTTACAAGAACTACATGCTCATTGGCAGCGAGCTTGAAGGCCACGGCATCCAGATCTTCGACATGACGAAGGTGAGAGCGAACAATGAGCGAAAGATTGGGATTTGTCTAACTTGATAACCAGCTCCTCGACATTGACCCATCTGAAGCCCCTATCCTGTTTTCGAATGACAAGGATCTTACCGGTCACTTCATTGAGACGCTTCCCTTGGGACGTAGCCACAATGTTGTTGTCAACGAAGAGGCTAACTATGCCGTTGCTGTCGGAGTTCAACCGCGCAACGTGAGCTGCATGGGAGGTCTTTACTTCTTCAGCTTGGAAGACCCCAGCAACCCTGTTGCACTCGGATGCGATGGGCAAGATGGCTACGTTCATGATGTAGGTCTTTGGAGCAGCGAACTGCGTAAGCGCTGTAGGTCATGACTGACATTTCTCGTTCAGGCTCAATGTCTTATCTACCGTGGCCCCGATTCCAAGTACTTCGGGCGGGATATTTGCTATGGATACAACGAAGACACTTTGACTATGTAAGTTGTCATGGAGGCGAATGATTCATGTCTCCACCAGTCCTAATTTGGCTCCTCCTAGCTACGATGTCTCCGACAAGAAGGACTCCAAGATCATCTCTCGCACATCTTATGAGGGCGCCACCTTCACTCACCAGGGCTGGGTCAATGACATTAACTGGCAAGGTATGTACCGACCACTGAATCGCCTGGAGTGAAACGGTACTGATGGTTCCAGAATGGCTCTTCATGGATGATGAGTACGACGAAGACGAGCTCGCTGGCCCGGCTGCGGATGGATACCCAGTCACGTACATCTGGGACATCTCGAGTCTCGAAAAGCCTCTTCAAAAAGGACTGTTCAAGCACAACGTCAAGGGAATCGATCACAACCAGTACGTTGTCGGCGACCTCCTTGTGCAGTCAAACTACGGCGCAGGTGTTCGGGTCTGGGACATCTCGTCGGTCCCCGAGGATCCCACCGGCAACAGCGTATGCGAGATCGCCTACTTCGATATCTACCCTGAGGATGATTCTTTACCCGGAGGCGGAGCCATTCAGTTCTCTGGAACATGGTCTTCGTACGCGTACTTCAAATCGGGCTTCATTTTCGTCAACACCATTGAGCGCGGTGCTTACCTTGTGAAAATGACAAAGAAGGAAGCATGCAAGCCCAAGACTTGCAACGCAGACAACTGCCTGCGCGCTCTCAGGGCGTCTAGTGTCCCCGGTCGGCTGGAGGAGTCTCAGGAATTCTGCGGTGAGTTCACGAAGACCGTCATCGCTGATGTGTCGGTGATGCCTGCATACGCTGCTGAGGCTTGCCCGACGAATGTGATTTCGAGGGTTAGCTCAGCTTGCTCATGCCTGCCAACACCGACTGCTTGAACCCTAAAACTGGAGGTCACATCGAAATGAGGTAGAAAAATATTCTCGCAAATGTCGACCAGAAGTGCAGGAGGCCAAGTGTCTACACTTGGAGACCAATAATGTAGCAAGTCAAGGTTCACAGAGAACATAAAAGCTCGCGTATTTGCAAGAACATTTGATTTTATGGATATAATGTTTATACAAGAGTCAAAGTGTGTACATGTACCAAAGACAAACAAACAACGCCGATCTAAATGCTATTCCTTGACAACCCGTTGCAATGAACCCCAGTGTCCAATTGCTTCCATCGCTTATGCATGTCCGAATTCCCAATCGATCAATTTTGCTCAATCATCGAGAGATGGAGCGCTTAGGAAGGGGGAGCAGTGCCGTTGGGGGGGCTGCCGCCAGCACCGCCGCCGCCGGAGTTGGAGTTCTCGACACCGCCGGACTCGTAGCGGAAGGCGGCGGGGGTGACGGTCTGGGACAGGGTGGTGTTGATACCGAAGGCCATCCAAGCAAAGAGGCCGTCAGTGACGCTATCGCCGAGGAGAGTGTACTCCATCATGGGGTCAACACCGTCGGTGGCGGTCTCCTCGGAAAGGATGGAGTCGTCGGCGTTGGTGGTGAGCTCCTGGGTGTTGGTGTTGTAGGGGGCGAAGGCCTCGACGGCGGAGATGAGGTCCTGGTCGAAGAAGGTCTGGCCGACGTGGGAAGCGGTGATCTCGTTGCCGAGGGTGCCGTTGGAGTAGAGGGTGGCGTTGTGGTGGACCATCAAGTGGATGTGGGTGGCACGGGAGGTGTAGTGGCCGGGGAAGATGGACTCGAACTGGGCAACACCATCCTCATCGGTGGGCTGGATGCCGCGGAGCCAGGTCTTGTCGATGTTGGTCTCGTCGGAGGAGTCGCCGTTACCGCTGGCGACGATGCCGGAGTAGACACCGGTGGAGTTGCAGTGCCACATCTCAAGGTAGACGTTGGGGACAGGCTCGCAAGTGTCGACGTCGATGACCTGGTAGTCGAGGACAATGTCGACACCCTCCTGCTCCTCGATGATGTTGCGGCGGACAGACTCGCCAGAAACGTCTGGTAAAAGTGTTAGTATGGAGTGATGATTGTGGGACGCCTGAGTGAGTGTGCTTACAGTAAGGACCCTGGGTAACCTCAGGGGTCAGGACGCAGGAGTTGTTGCCGGAGAAGAGGGTGGCGGCGTCGGTCTCGAGGGTGTAGCCAAGAGCAGTCTGGTTGTGGGACTCGGCGAGGACGGTAGCGGCGTCGCGCTTCTTCAGGCTGCGCTTCTGGCGGGCCTTCTCGACCTGGGCGGAGCGGCGGGCGACGTTGCGGGCAGTGACGCCGCGAGCCTTAAGCTTATCGGCGCAGTGAGCCAAGCTGGCGCGCTTGACGTTGCCGAGGAAAGCGCGGCGCTCGGCGATCTCTTCGGTGAGGTCGTGGCCGGGGTGGGCAATGGCGCCGGAGAGGAGGGCCAAGCCGGAGGCGACGGTGGAAAAGCGCATGTTGGCTGTTTGTGACTGGAGTGTTGATGAAAAGAGAGTTGCTTATTCGACTTGTTGATCTGAACAAGAGGATGAGTTGGAAGTGGAAGCGAGAGGTAGATGGTTGTGGAGTGAAGGTGATGCTGATGAGGGTCTTCTTTTCGGTTCTGGAGGGAATCGAGCTTGGGTTATTATACTCAATGAGATGATGACATCCAAATCAAAGCCATCCCCCACGAACCGCCCGAATGCCATGGTGGGAGTTCGTCGCATGAGTCCAGCAGTGGAGCTCAACCCATCACAGCCATCACAATTAGCCTCCGCCATTGACTCGGGAGACATGTACGGTGGCTCCGGAGGGCCTCGATTGCGTGGGCTTCCGCCGTGATGGTAGAGCTAGCGTCCAATGCTTCGCCCCTGTCCCGGGCCAGCAACGTCAACTTTCTTTACCCGGCGTAAGGTAGGGACCGTGGTCCGGGGAGACAGAGCCTCGGCCGGTGGAGCCCTTAGACGAAGACGACGACGACGTTGCCCCCTTTGCCCAAATTGCCCCCCTTACTCTGTTTGGCGCAAAAGCCATCAACACCTAGATTCGACGTCTTGGCACGGGGCTAAGGGCGTCGTGGACGGCCGCCTGGCGAATGACGGGTTGTGCATAACAAATCCACCCCGGACACCGGCCTCCACATAGGCTAATTTTCTCTCGATCATATCCCGGCAGGGCGACGAGCGGAGTGCTCCGCGAGCCAGACCAAGCATCCGGATGTGGCCCTACACGCAAGCCTTCCGTCAAAAGTGGAGTCGGTGCCGCCGTTTAAGCCGCCTTTTGAACGGGATGGCATCCCACATGCCGAAACAAAGCCCACTTGGATGGCTTTGGCTTGTTGGTGAGGACGCGTTCACAGACCCGAATTGGCCAATCACGCCCGGTTTGTTGTTTAACTGATGCTGTAAAAATAGACTACCGAGCGGGAAGGCCAGCACTCGTTTGCTGCGCAGTGGCTTCGGGAAGTTTTCTAAACTCTCAGGGATGCAGATACCTGTGCCTCCTTACAACAACATCCCGTCAACCTGCGGGGTTTGGCTCTACCGCGACCAACCACAATCTTCATTAATGATTTGGTTTATCGTGAGAGGTTGCTACGTTGTTTACTACACCATAGCCGAGAATTGACATAGTAGGACTGAGCCGAGGCTTCTTGCCTGTAGGGCGTGCTTTAGGCGTCTATCGCCGACGGACGTAAAAAGTGGCTCAGCTCGGGATGCGGGGGGTGCTGCTGCGCGTCCCTGGGCCTAGTGATATCACATCTATTGGATTGTGTGATTCGGAGTCGCCTTGTTCTTAGCTTCCGAGTTTATTAATTTGAGATATTGTACCTAGGGTGTGATCTTCTCCCTAGTACTAGCACTAGTACTAGAGATTTCTAGTACTAGTATATTCTCTAATATAATAGAAGCTTAGAAAAACCTCTTTTTAATATACTTAACCTTTCTAAGTATTAATAAATTACTATTAATAAGGGGACTTTATTATAAAGTTTTAGTAATATAGTTATATAAAAAATAACTATATATTTCCTCTCTTTAGTATTAATACTAAAGTTTTCTACTATTTAACTCCTTTTTATTATATAAAAAGCTTAGTATATAGAGAGGGTAGTTTCTAACTTTCTCTATACTAAAGTTAGTACTAAAAGTAGTTAGACTTTTTAAATAGTAGAATTAACCTCTCTATAATAAACTCTTCTAATAATAAAGCTATAAATAAAGCTATAGAATTAGTAATATAGAGTATTTATATTATTTTAACTTAATAAGAGTAATTATTAAGTAACTATTATATAGCTATTAATAAAAGTAGCTTTATAGTAGTATATATATACTAGAGAACTATTAGTAAAGTTACTTTATTATTTTTTTAAAATATTCTAAATAATTAAAAAGTAGTTTAATATATTTATTAAATAGTTTAGTAAATATATTAGCTTAATAGACTCTTAATATATAAATACTAAATAGAAATTAATAATATTCCTATATATTTTAAATTAAAGCTACTTTTAGTATATTACTACTTATATTTTTAAAGTTAGCTAAAGTATAGTTTTATAGTATATTAATTTCTTATTTACTATTTATATTAAACTATATAAAGTATATATTTAACTTATAATAGAAAGAGAGATCTCTTTAAAGATTAAAAAGAACCTTAAAAAAGAGGTTTTCTTAAGTTATATAGGTATTATTAATAGTATTTTAATCTATATTTTTATATTAAAAGAAAAGTAGAAAATATAGTAGTATTATAAAAGTTTTATTAGCTAGAATATCTTTATAGTAATAAGGTTTAATAGTAGTTTTTTATATATATTTATTAATATAGAGAGGTTAATCTATAATTTAAAACTAGTAATATTTATATATAACTAAGGATTTATTATACTAAAAAGTAGATATTTCCTTATTAATACTAAGTTTAGAAATAAAAGTAGTTTTAATATTTTATATTATAAAACTTATTATTATCTATAGGATTAAAAAGATATAAACTTATTATTAATAACTACTTAAGAGCTATATAATCTAAAATATAGCTATCTTTAAGTTATTATAGAATACGTTTTTAGTTATTTTAAGAAGAAGTTCTATATTATTTAAAGTTTAGTGCTAAAATATAGCTTAAAATAATAGATTACTATAATATATATAATAATAGTATTTTATAACTTTTTAATAATCTACTTATTAATAAAAATAAAATAAGTAGAAGGAGAAAGTTAAAATAATATTAATATTAATATATTATAGTAATAAGTAGATAATTACTATATAGGTAAGTTAGTAAGTAAAATTTATAATATTATAGTAGTAGAGATATAGTTAAAGTAGTACTAAAAAAGAAGTAGTAAGTAAAGTAGTAAGTAAGTTAATATTAATATTAATAGAAGTAAATAAGTATAGTTATATATAGTAAAAATACTTTTTTTTTTAATATTAATACTATAAAGTATTTATATAAAAAAAATACTAAAAAAAAGCTTTCTTTTTACTTCTCTAATATCTAGTTAATATATAATCTCTTAAACTTATTATTACTTTCTATTTTATTCTAAAGAACTATTAGTAATATTATAAAGTTCTAAAGCTTTAATAATAGCTTTCTTATAACTATAATATATTATACTACTATTAACTTACTTTAAAAATTAGCTTTAAAGTTAATAAGAACTATATTAATTACTAACTTACTTTCTATTATTTTTTCTAACTTTAGTTTCTTTTTTAAGTATATTAGTTAAATATTTTAGTTTATATATACTTAACTTTTAGTATTTATAATTATTTTATTATATTTTTATAGTTTTAATATATTAAAAGAGAGGAGTAGTATTTATAATACTAAATATTAAAGTAAGGGTATATATAATAATATACTTAATATAAAGTAGTTACTTTATAGGGTTAATAAAGTAAATAGACTAAGTATACTATTAATAATATTATTTTCTTCTTTAGTAAAGTTATTAACTTTCTCTTTATAACTATTCTTATTACTCTTAATATTAACCTCTATATTAGAGTCCTTTACTTATATAAGGTTTTCTATAATATATATATTATTATTAATATTTAAACCTCTATTCTATATCTCTAAATAAGGTTAAAGCTAACTTAACCTTCTATTTTAAATCTATAATATCTTTAAGTTATTAACTAAAAAAGCTATTTTTTTATTTTTATTAATATATATTATATTAATAATCTTATTAAAAGTATTATTTAATTTTAGTACTATTTATATTTATAGAGAGAACTTCTTCTTCTTAATATAAAACTTATTATATATATAGTTTAGTATTATAATATAGTTAAAGATTTTTATATTATTAAAGCTCTTTATAATCTCTATTTATATTAGCTTTAAAGTTTATAGTTTATTAATATTTAGCTTCTTCTCTTAAAAAGTATATAAAAGATTTTATATAAATACTACTATTTAATAAGCTAATTAATATATTTATAAATCTTTATTTTTAATATTTCTAGCTTTAATTATAAATAGAGAGGTATTATTATTTAATAGAGATATTCTCTTTTATTTCCTTAATCTTAGATTTACTAATTTAATAAATAATAGCTTAATTTATTTAACTTTATTATTATTAGAGTTAGAACTCTTTTTTATAATAAGTATAATAATAATAATACTTTCTTAGATATTTAAGCTTTTATTAGTTTACTAGCTATATATAGGAGTACTTAAAGTTATTATAAAAGAGTATAACTTTAGTATTTTTATTATAGTATATAAGAAGTTATAATATAAATAAAATTTATATAAACTAATAAAGTATACTAATTAGCTAGCTAAAGATCTTAGTTATAAAAGTAGTAAATATATCTTTTACTAAATTTAGTTAAAATACTAACTTAGTAATAAAATAAGTACTTCTATTATAAATCTGAAATTATATAAGGGACGTAGAGTATTATTAGAGGTTACTTTTACTATTAAATCTCTAGTACTAGTACTAGTACTAGGGAGAAGATCACACCCCTGGCTAGTAACGAAGAAAATTCTTTGTTTGGAGCTTGTCTAGTGATACGGGTGCATCCGTGATCGGTTGGTCTGAACTTCTGCAATCTTGAGACGGTGACAGGTTGAGATCGAAACGCATCAAAGATCATGTTCGTCCGATTGTCTGATGGCCATCAAGTGTTCAGGCTCTACAAGTTGCCCATGACGATCAACTCTTGTTTCTCAGTCCCCACGATATCTGATAGCCTTAAAGCTTGGTTACGAAGATCCAAAGGCTGACATCGAAGTCCTTGGCTTCACCACGGAGCTGGCGACCAATTGAGTTCTAGACGATGTCATCTCAGGAGCCACTGCATGTTGCATTCTATCTTCCCAAAATACTTCTCATCGCAAGCTTCACAAGGATTTCGTAGTATCCCGTCAAGCAGCAGCCAGGTTAATGTCGAGCATCAGGGCTCTTCTCCCTTCCAGCAAGCTCTCT